TCATAATTGTAATGATTTTGGGCGGAAATTTTTTTGTCTATATTTGGCATTTGATTAATATTTATTTATTAGCAAATCTTATGTATGAAAAACATAATTAATTTTTATACACTCAATCACTGTTACTCATTAACTACAAATTGGCTTAAAATTTTGACCGTTAGATATACTTTCAATAAGATCTTATATTAATTTAAGAGTAATTTATTGATACAGTTCGAAAAATTATTATGAAAATTGAGTTGATTAAATATATTATCATCTATGGTTGTAGGTATTAATCTAATTAATTATATTCACTATTATAAGTGTTTAAAATATTTAATAAAATAATAAGAATAACTATATTTAAATCATAATAACTTAATAAATAATTTAAAATATTAATAAAAGTTTCTAAAATGTAGTCAATTTAACTATAAAAAGGCACATCTCATTGAATATATCATATAATACTATTGAAAATTTAAATAATATATTAATAAAAATAAAATTTGATTGTCGAGTGCAATTCATAATTATAAATTTCACTTTAGAAGTATCTATGTACATTGTAAAACTATTCAATTTAAAAATATATATTTTTTCTAATATACTATTTTTAAAGAAAAAATAAGTTAATAAAAAAGCAATGTATAATAATATAAAGTATAGCACTTGGTAATTATCGAAATATATAATATATCTAAATATTCGAATAGATACTATATAACTCATTATATAGGTTGAAAAAATGAATTAGAGAAATAAATATAAATAAAAATGAAAACGAAAAAATAAATATTTAACCATAAAAATTTATGTGTTGCATAAGGATTAAAGTTACTACAAATTTAAATTTATTTATCAATGTTTTGAACTTTTAATTAACTTAATAATTTATAGCGGAAAATAAATATTATGGGTTTAATGTTGGTCAATAATTAAACAATGTGCAAATTATGAATTATTAAAAAAATTATAAGACTATGATAAACGGTAATTTTATCAGTACATACAAGTAATTTGTATGCAAATATCATATGATCTTATACATTTATAATATTTTTAAAACTAATAAATAAATAAATAAATTTAATTTTATAGTATTTAAATAAAAAATATTTCTTTCTATTGCACCCCGTGCATCGCACGGATATCAACACTAGTTACTACTAAATTAAATATTATGTCCCGTTAACCTAGCTTTTGAGTGTATTTGTAGATATCATAAACTTATTTGGTTAGTTTATAATTATTGTATTTAAATAAATTAATTCATACGATTTTTGTATTTAAATAAAGGTTAAATTTTTTAGCCCTGCTGCCTGCTGGTTTAACACCATATCATTTTTAGTCCCATGATTCTACCATTTTGTTGGTCTGTGATTTGATATTTTGCTGCAATTTTAGTCATTTAAGGATTGAAATTATATCAAATTTCTAAATTCATAATTTTTTCATTAACAATTAAGTCATATAATTGAAAATTTTGTTACAATTTCAGTCTTGTTGTTTAAAATTTTGTTGCAGTCTCAGTTCACAAAGGACTAAAATTGCAATAAAATATTAAATCATAGGACCCAAAAGGCAAAAAGTTGAAACCTTTGAACTAAAATTGTTATGGTGTTAAACCAACAAGACTAAAAATATATTTTTGCCTTAAATAAATTTGGTTTGATAAGATTTTTTTTTTTTTTTTTTTTTT